GTTGGCAATCTAATTGTTTAAAGCCCTCCCCTTAGAAGGCTTAAAGGAATCCTTTTAGAAATCTGTTGTCCTCACTTTTTCTCACCCAGGTTCAGGGTGCATCTACACTTTGGAATTAATGCAGTTTGACCCCACTTTGACTACCATGGCTCAATACTATTGAATTGAGGGATTTCCAGTTTGGTGAGGCACCTGCACTGTTTCACAGAGAAAGCAAAAAAAACTTATAAAATGACAATAGAATTGAACTATGTTAAAGTGGTGTCAAACTACATTAATTCCACAGTATAGATTCACCTTCAGTCAACATAACTTGATTTCGCTTCATGGAAATGAGGATATTTATTAGGTTGAATTTTCATCAACTGTTTACATTGTTTTAACGTTATTCTAGTTTATCGCTTTTTTATTACATTTCTATACCACCTTTCTGCTCACTGGGTCTCACAAAAAGTATACATTCCTAGCAACATTTTAAAACATGCTTTTTTAAAAAGAAGAAGTCTGTACAATATAATATGGTTTAAGTTGCCTTTTGCAATCAAGTAAGAATGAAGAAACCTGACTTCCATTGGGAGAGAGCTCCGCCATCATAGCGCTGTTACAGAAATTTAGGATTTCTGATTTAGATGGCCTAATATGCTTATATAAAATGAAATAGAAGCCAAGCAGGGTTGAAAAGCTCTCCTGTCCAAAACAATGCAGGATTGAAGCTGCAAGGCTATTCAATGCTGATCAAATTGGCCAATTGCAACATTCACACTTGCCTCAAACAGACAAGAGTTCTTTCTCCCACCCGGAACATTCCGATATATAAACCTCACTTGCCTAGTTTCCAACAGAACTCTCAACCTCTGACGATGCCTGCCATAGATGTGGGCAAAACGTCATGAGAGAATGCTTTTGGAACATGGTCATACAGCCCGGAAAATCCAAAACAAATCCCATTGCTGTTAGTTCTTAAATGCATGTTGGAATAGGAGAAATTTCACTTGCTGGTTGTCAGAGAGCAAGGGGAGAGCCATCCTGGCTTCCCAAGAATGTAAACTTTGTTCAAGGCTCAGTTTATTTCTGATCCTTGCCTGCCCTCTAGAGGTTGGCAAACATCATTGACTATAAGAAGTCAATCATGGATCTGCACCAATTTCTAATGGGTCCATTCAAAACATCCAAAAACAGCCATGGACCTGCACTAATTTCTAATGGGTCCATTAAAAACATCCAAAAACAAACAATGCCTTTTTCAAATAGCCCAACATTGCTAGCTACCCAAGCCAATTTAAAATAAAAAATAATTTTAACCAAATACGCTTAACAGTATTTCAGTAGAAGACCTTAGCGTCCTTCCATGCCAGAAAAGGGTTCTGGAAGCAATGAAGGCATGGAGGAAACCTTCTGCATGGTGAGGAAGGGAAGGAAAGTTGCTCCCCCACTGGTGCTTCGGCGGTGGAGGAGCAACCAGCTGACTGGTGCCTCCTTCCCTGCTGCTGCATGCTTGGAGGGGGAGGGAAGCATGGAGCCCTGTCTGTGCCCTAAGGACTCCGCGGAGCACACTTTGAGAACCACTGCCATAAGCTATCATTCAGAAGATGGGAACTAACAAGCCATCCCTGGATATTCGTTGCCTAAAAAGATCCAGTGAGATTCATGGGGTCACCATAAGTTGACTGGCAACTTGAAGGCACACTCATTCATATATCTTTTAAAAATATAATCTGGAGAGAAAGCTAGAGACATAGTTAATACTGCTTTCATTTTAAAAACCTATACATTTGTAACAGGCAACAATTAAACAATTCAGTTCTTCCATAAACAGGCAGGTTATATCTGTTGGATTTACAGAAATCTTAGCACACTAGAGAGGAATGTTCCAATGCATACAAATATTTGTGATAAGCAATGCTTAAGTGGTATCAAACTTAGGGCCCTCCCAGAATATTCCTGGCCATTGGATAAGCTGGCTAGGGTTTCCGGGGGCCCTTCTACACAGCCATATAACCCAGAATATCAAGAATATCTGCTTTGAACTGAGTTGCCTGAGTCCACACTGCCATATATTCCAGTTCAAAGCAGAAAATGTGGGATTTTATTCAGCTGTGTGGAAGGGGCCTGGGAGTTGGAGGTCCACAAAACCAAAATTACAGTTGCTCTCCATGACTAATTTTAGATTAAGAAATTGAAGAATTGTGTTTTAGGCTTTGTCAATGCAATGTATATGTTTGCTCAGAAGAAGTCTCTCTATGTTTAATGATATGTACTTGCTAGTAGGCATGCTTGGGATAGAGCTTTCAGAGGGTGGTTTTGTTTTGTTTTGGTTTTTTTTTTTTGTTTCGTTTGGTTTGGCATAGGAAGTCACTAAGGCAAGAATCAGACTCAATACCTTTTAATCGGATGGAAGATTAAGATTCCTGGGATTTGTAGGTCAGTATATTATGAAGAAAGTCATAATATGGTGTAACACTGATTTTCTTTTTCCCTCTTCTTTGTTTCTGGCTTTTCCCCCCTTTCCTTGTTGGCCTGCAGGTTCCACCAACCCCAACTAGAAGAGCTAATAGTGAGAAATGTTGGGAAGTGCACTACTTCCAAAAGTACAGGGCCATATAATGCTTATCCAGCAATTTCCATTCCAATTCTTCTAAGCAAGAATGGCATTTTTAAAATCCAGGGAATATGAGTTAAGGCATGGGGTATTTCTTGCCAGCGAGAAATCAGCATGAACTGTAGACCAGTGCCATGAAGTGTGAGGCGTTAAAACTTTCCACCCAAAGCCACCCACACAGAACAGCTGTGAGAGGAGACAGCCAAGAAGTTTGTGGTGGGAAGGCAGAAAATATTTGCACATACAAGCAGACAGAAGGAATTGCTAAACTAAGCAAACAGAGGGCAAGGAACTGAACCTGTGCAGAGAAGAGGAACTAGAAGTGCAGCCTGCTCACCCAGGCTGGATATCAGGATTAGGTGGCAGACCAAAAGTATGCAGAGGAAATGGCTGCTGCCAAGGATACAGGCATGGTGGGTGACCTGGGGCACAGTCCACAGAGTGATGGAATTTATTTGCCTTTCTTTTTTCCTTAAAGATGCCAGCCACCAAAATGAATCCAAGTGGAATCTGGAATGCCATTCTATGGAAAAATGGATTATCTCACTTAACTTAGTTCCCAAATATACAGTATTTACTATGATCTGCATCCCAGAATGCATCGTCAAATGTTCCAACTAAAATTGAAGAGCTGTCTCTGGGTAATTGGTTTTCTTGAGGACTATGCCATCTATTTTAAGAATCCTTGTGAAAATCTGATTGCTTTTCATTTTCAGAGGGATAGCCATTCACACCTGCACCAGGAGCAGGTCTTTGGGAAAGTCAATTATTTTTGTTTGCCCAATTAAAATCAAGCTGGCACCAACATCTAAATACTTTGCATTACTACAGGGATAGCTCATACCAGCATGTTGCCTAAGAGTCTTTGCTTACACCAGTGATTACATTGGCAACAATAGCAGCAACAGACTTAGTGCATCTACTCACAGTAGAATTAACACACATGGACACCACTTGAACTGTCATGACTTTATGCTGTGGAATCCTGGGAACTATAGTTTGGTGAGGCAGCAGCACTGTTTGGCAGAGAATCCCAGAATTCCATAGCTTTGAGCCATAGCAGTTGAAATGGTGTTAAGGTGCATTAATTTGTAGTAGAGATGCACTCAAGGACAGATTGGCTCAAACTTCATAGGGCCCTTCCACACAGCTGTATAAAAACCACATTGAACTGGATTATATGACAGTGTGGACTCAGATATTCCAGTTCAAAGCAGATATTGTGAATTATCTGTCTTGTTATTCTGGGTTAGATGCTGTGTGGAAGGGCCCCTAGATATTCCATTGGAGACTACCTATGGATACTAGGTGCTGTAGGCTACAGTATATTTCAGAGAACAGAATTGGCAAAACCACGCCAGAGTATTCCTTGCTGAAGAAAACCCTATGTAATTAGCGGAGCTGCCATAAGTTGGCAATCGACTTGAAGGCATGCACACACAGAAAAGCTCAACAGGATTCCAACCATAGTCACTGTTGAAATCTGTTTTCTGCCCAAGTTCAATAAGAATTACTGCTGTGCTACTGAATCTGTTATAGGGTAAGCTTTCATAGACTTCACTCTACTTCATTGGATACATGTAGAGCAGGCATGGGCAAACTTCGGGGTGATAAATGTTTTGGACTTCAACTCCCATAATTCCTAACAGCTTTAGGCCCTTTCCTTTTTCCCCTCAGCCGCTTAAGCCTGGCAGGCCGAAGTTTGCCCATCCCTGATGTAGAGTTATCCCTCTCCAGCTACCAGTGTATAAATGCACATAATACACGTGGTTGGAGGGCAAGTAAATGCTGAGATCTACTGGGAATAAAATGTAAAAAGTACACTGACAATTCAATTAATGCTTAAGGTATGCAAGATAACCAATTAAGGCACAGGGTGTAATTGTGCCAGCGTTTTTGCGTTGTGTAGTATTACTACCTATCAGGATTGCTTATTTGATATAGTCTCTCTGTCTCTTATTTCTTCTCCCATCTCTTGCTTTTTGTACCTGTATACTGATGAGGAATTTGAAAGAACTCAGAACTTCGTACCTCATATGTGGAACCAAGGTAGTAATAAGTATGGTGTGCAGTACATAGTAAATCACTAAGATGAGAATTTAGTATTACAAATTATGCAATAACAGCTGCATATATCAAGTGGAAATGGTGTGCATTTGTTATACATTTCCCCAGAAGTTCTAATGGGCTCAGAGGTGATAGGCAGCCCCTGTAAATAACTTCAGAAATGAAGAGAAAGCTAGTGGGACTTCAATTGATATATCAGCAATGATGGCCATGCAAGGGTTGTGATTAGCAATCAGTCCCTAACTTCAGGATTTCCTCTCCTGATGCAGTCACCCCTCTCGCATTGCTGATGCCCACAATATCCACAAGTGTCATGATGTTGGCTGGTACATTGCTTAATCCACAACAGGCTTGCACAGAAGTTCCTCTTGTATGTATTTAACTGAGGCAAAAGACTATTTGCTCTTGTGCAAGACCATCTTTTCATTTTTAGTTGGGAACTTTTCTCACTTGATCAGCCGAAGAGAGATGGAAAGATTTCTGTATCTCATCTGCTTGATCTTCTTGTCAGGTATGAAATGAGGGTCTTTCTGTACTGACTGGAGGGTTGATTACCTGGTTCTGTCAATGTATTCCAGGTGTGGTCTGACCAAGGCTCTAATCTGCCTTGAGGGCTCTAATTGCCCTCCTCTGGACACAATCCCACTTGTCAAGATCTCCCTTCAATTGTGATGCCCAGAATTGGACACAGTGTTCCAGGTATGGTCTGACCAAGGGAGAATAGAGCCTTGGTCAGACCACACCTAGAATACTGTGTCCAATTCTGGGCATCGCAATTGAAGGGAGATGTTGACAAGCGGGATTGTGTCCAAAAGAGGGTGATTAAAATGATCAAGAATCTGGGAAACAAGCCCAATGAGGAGTGGCTTAAAGAGCTGGGCATGTTTAGCCTGCAGAAGAGACGGCTGAGAGGAGAGATGATAGCCATGTATAAATATGTGGGGGAAAGTCATAGGGAAGAGAGAGCAAGTTTGTTTTCTACTGCCCAGGAGACTAGGGTGCAGAGCAATGGCTTCAAACTACAGTAAAGATTATTCCACTTTAACATGAGGAAGAACTTCCTAAATGTGAGAGCTGTTCAGCAGTGGAACTCTCTGCCCCAGAGTGTGGTGGAGGCTCCTTCTTTGGAGGCTTTCAAACAGAGGCTGGATGGCCATCTGTTGGGGGTGCTTTGAATGCAATTTTCCTGGAATGCCCACAAGGTTTCTTCTAACTCTATGATTCTATTATTCTATTATTGTCCAAACTATAGCATGAGACGTCATAACAAGACTAGAAGTATGCAATGATGCTGAAGAAAGAACACCGCTGATCTTACTAAGGGTCCCCCTTCGTTTTGCCAAGTACCTCTTGTTTGCATCTTCTGTCTCTGCAAACTACATAAAATAGAGTCATTTGCTTGGGAGACAGTATGAAAAAAAGTACAGAAGATTAGTACATTGTTACCTTAATGGTTTATCTGCATAGCTCTAGAATCCAGTGTATACAAAATGATGAAAGCTCAAACCATGACAGAATGGAAACAATAGTATTCCTAGTGTTTTTCTGTCTCAATTCACATGCAATTGTGGTTGTTAATTTTACATATATCTTGACTACATAGCTTCAAAGTGGTTTGTATTAGTTGTAAAAACCTTACTATCTCAGAGGATAACAACACAAGGAAGACAGATGGTTTGGAACAGAAGAGTGTTTGATTAAAATGAAACAGATTTTAAACTTCAAAGTCTACTTTTAAACCAACTAATAATCCATACTACATTACATATAACAGGGCAAAATGTGTCATACAAAGGAAATATGTTTAGGTCATCACCGCTTTCCTTGGCAAAAAGTTACTGTGAAGTGGAGTAGGCAATCACAAAATAAATGTTTGTTTGTTTCCTCAAGTACCAAGAGATAAGAAATAATCCATCTGTTTCTACAATTTGCAAAGAATCTCAAGAAGGTTCATATATTTGCTTAATTCATTTCCCTTACCCCTTATTGCACTACCAGGGCTCCTCTCTGCTCTGCAAGCAGCTCAGATTGAATGTTCCTGTCTCCCCAAGAAGTGAGAAGGAATAATCCCCTTATTGCACCCTGAGTGAGCTGAGTGAGCTGGTACCATCCTCTTTAAGTAAGGCAGGGTTCCTCAAACTAAGGCCCGGGGCCCGGATATGGCCCTCCAAGGTCATTTACTCGGCCCTCACTCAGGGTCCACCTAAGTCTGAAACGGCTTGAAAGCACACAACAACAACAACAACAATCCTATCGCATCAGCCAAAAGCAGGTCCACACTTCCCATTGAAATACTAATAAGTTTATATTTGTTAAAATCGTTCTTCATTTTAATTATTGTATTGTTTTAAGTGTTTTTTGCACTACAAATAAGATATGTGCAATGTTCATAGGAATTCATTCATATATTTTTTTTCAAATTATAATCCGGCCCTCCAACAGTTTGAGGGACTGTGACCTGGCCCTATGTTTAAAAAGTTTGAGGACTCCTGAATTAAGGTGTCTGTCTTAATTTCAAAACATGAAGATATATCTGTGAATCAACAAACTTGGTTGGTACTTAAATATATAATGGTTACTGATGTCACCAGGAGCTTTCCCTAGGTCTCAGGTTAGGCCTGGAACTATCTTGAGCTGAGAACCCTGCTTGACAGGTTTAATTATCAATTATAATTATCCATCTTATCACATTGAGAAATTTCCCCCTCGTATGACACTTCAGCCCAGGCCCATAGCCAGCATTTTGATTTCGGGGGGGGGGGGGAGTTTGGGTGGGGGGGGGCTGAGTCTGAGTGAAAGAGGGTCTAGCCTAGCAAACCTTTTGTATTATTACCCCAATACCCCCATGCATATGGGATATATTGAGCATGGTGATCAGATCATGATATGAATAAACATAATAGTTTAAATAATGTACCAGTAAGGCCTTCTTGTGGACCACCATGAGAATTTGTGGGGGGCTGAACCCCCCCCCCCCCCCCCCCCCCCCCCCCCCCCCCGGCTACATGCCTGCTTCAGCCTCTTTCTCCCATTCTCTCCCGCGTTCTGAATCGTCACACAACTGAGTACAATCCCCGCCCATTCCGCATTCTTTTTTAAAAAATCAGGGAAAACTTCAATATTGAAAGTTAATATTTCTATGGACCTCAACCCATTTTAGGAGGAAAGCAGGGTAATTTCAAACTCCTTTGACATGATCCGTCTTCCCGTGCTTTCATTCCTTCCTTCCATTATACCACATTGCCATGATCCCCTCCTCTCAGGCTTTCTTTCCCTCCCTTATATACCAGTGTTATCTTAAAAACCTAGCAATAGCACAATTTCAAAAGCCTTGATTACTATGAAGGAGAAAATGGAGATAAAGCAAAGTGCTCATATCTTACAATAGCTCTATTCCTTAGGATTACATTATTTTTAAAAAATTACTCTTCTAGGCTCATGCAGAAGGATTTAGTAAAAGAAGTGCATAGGAGACTGCCCATAGGAATGCACATTCCTCCACTTCACTGAACCGAAACTACATGGGGAATCTGACAGATCCCATCCCATGTGTTTTTTCCATCTTTCTCCCATTTCCACCTGCATTGGGAGCTCTACACTTCTACTACATTTCAGGGATGAGAGGCAAAAGATGACAACTGGAAGTAGTTTTACGTTATGTGAAGGACTCTGTAGCACTTATAGAATTATTTCTATAATTATTCTATCATTATAGAATCATTATAGATTCTATAACCCCTTGCATTGGAGGAAAAGCACAATCAACATATCCCTGACAGATGGCCATCCAGCCTCTGTTTAAAAGTTTCCAAGGAAGGAGCTTCCACCAGACTCCAAGGCAGGGAGTTCCATTGTTGAACAGCTCTTATGGCCAGGAAGTTCTTCCTAACTATAAGAGCTGTTCAACAGTGGAACTCTCAGTTCCGGAATGTATGGAAACGGGAGGATTTGTGTTGGATTCAGTTCCAAAAATTCTGGTCAGGAAAGAAGCAGGTATTTAAAAGATAAAAACAAAGAAGCAGAAGGGATTTGGATAATTCTTCTGCTTTCTAATAATATCCACAGTTGAAGAGACCCAAAGAGCCATCCAGTTCACTCTCTGCCATACAGGAATATACAGTCAAAGCACTTCCAAGGGATGGCCATGAAGCCTTCTTTCTATCTTTCTTTCCTAGATGCAGATACAACCGAGGATGTTACTGTAGTATATGGCATTGAAGGGAAGCCCATCTCCATCAACTGCTCTTACAACCTCAAAGAGAACCAGTGGAGGGAGAAAAGTTGGTGTAAACACATCAGCGAGACAAATTGTCAGCATGTTGTTAGTGCCCGGCGGTTTTGGATGCCATTCCTCAAGAGGAGAAATGGCACCACTGCCATTGCTGACAATATCCATGAAGGGATCCTTACAGTGACCATCAACCCACTCAAGAAAAAAGATGCTGGTCTGTACCAATGTAAGACAGACTTCCTGGGGGTTGTGAATACTCTCCAGAAAGTGAAAGTGAACGTCCTAACAGGTAGGTCCCTTTTGGACTGAAATAGTCTCCAAGTATTACTTTTAAAATACGGGCAGTCCCCAAGTTACAAACATATGGCTCATACTTAAGAATGAAAGTGAGACAACAGGAAGTGAGAGAAATCTACCCCTCAGAAGGGAAATTCATTCCTGGAAGAGTTGTCATGGAAAAAAGTCGTCTCCTCTAAAGCTTTCTCACCAGTCCTTGCTTCTACAACAATCCAATTTTTTCAAAAGTCAATTATAACAGAGACAGAAAGTGAGGTGAAATCCTCTGAACAGGGGCACAGACAGCATAAGAAACATCACAGGGGTGTTTGTCCTACCCTGTGCTATCCAACAAACCCTACAGAACCTATCTTGTTTGTAACTTGGGGACTGCCTGTAGTTGTTTTTCATCCTGTGCAATGATATGAATGAAGATCTTATCACCAATGCATGCCTTAATAGTGTGAAAGCACTCACAGCCCTAAATACACCTTTTCCCCTTCTTATATAGCATGGTTGGGTTGAGGGACCTAAAAAATTGAGAACTAATTTTGGCCCACAGCAGGTCATACCGTTGAGAAGCAGCCAGAGTCCACTTGTAACTTTAAAACATTGTTTTCACTTTCAAAAGCACATGGCAAGTCTGCTACATACTCCTCATCACTTTGGCCAGCGGTCCACTTCAGGGCGAGGCATGGGGCTCCCATCTCGCAAGACAATCACATGTAGGGAAGCACTCCCCTGCCCCTGGAGCTGGCATGGATCTCTCAGCTTTGTCCTCAGATTATGTCAGTTCCTGCAAACGAAATTCAAAGGACATTGAATTGAGGAGAGGAGAGGAATGGGCAGGAACCTGCATTTCTCAGTAAACTCATACAAAAGCAAACTGTTGCAGTGTCTCCTAACTTTTGTGTTCTCCTTCAATAATACTTTTAGTCATTGGAACCACACTCATATATTGCTTGGCCACACATGTCCTGGTTTTCAGCTGTAAAATAATAAAAGGTATGCTGCTGTAATATGAAAGCAGATAGTATTACCTGGCGGGCTCCAGAAGCATGGTTCTCAATTTTAAAATACTTTTTCTCAGCATGGTTTGGAGAGTTCCAAGGCTTTAAAATAGGATCAGATTTCACCTGTTGTTCACCTTTGTTAGTTTGACTCATCCCTTTTCATCGTGATCGAATATACAGTCCAGAGTACAGTATTTATAAGGTTACAAATCTGTACATGTAGTATCTGGCAATAAATTCAATTGAAGGCAGTGACATTTAATTCTGAATAAATATTACTCGGTAGTTTAAATACTATATGTATACTTCATTTGTGTGTTATTGGCTTCCTTTTTTACAATGATTTGTTCATTGCCATTGCCCTAAAACTGTCATTTTTAGTAACTAATTTTTTGCATGTCTGCCACCAGACTTATGGGAGGCTGAAGCACCAGAAGAGCCCAGAGTGGAGCAAAGCATCTCCAGGTAAATATATACATTAATTTTAGGGAATGGATTGGTCCATTGCAACAGCCTTTAATACATTTGTTTGTTACAAAGTATGAACCAAGACAAAATATTTTTTTTAAAAAAATCTAGTAGAGTATTAAGCAACACAAATGTTAGAAACTGCTTAGAGATCATCCAGACAGGCCCATATCTCAAGATCTGTTGCAGTTTTACCAGAGTAATCCAAACAACGCTGAATTAATTCAGGACAAAGCAAGGTTTCCCTGCTTTGATCTGAATCAAATAAACTCCTGGTAAGACCTTGATCTTAGATCAAATCCAGGTCTTACTAGGTGTCAGCCCTGTGTGGATTGGGCCCGGAGATCATGTCATGCGATCCCCCAGACCCAAACCACATAGCCACCTCAGTTTTTTGGGCTCCAGGACCCCATAAGAAGCCCTTAAAAGATTAAAAAAAAACTTACCTGGCCACCATTATGGTCCTCCTGATATGAGGAAATTACATGCCAGGAAACAGGGGGCTTGTTTTCTGCTGTTCCAGAGACTAGGATGTGAAGCAAAGAGATTCCACCTAAACATTAAGAAAAACTTTTTGATAGGTAAAAGCTGTTTGACAGTGGAATATGCTTGGAGTGTGGTGGAGTCTCCTTCTTTGAAAGTTTTAAAATAGATGGCTAAATGTCCATCTCTTGGGAGTGCTGAGATCTCTTCCCCACCATCACCACCTCCTAACACACAATTTTCTCACATCAGAAATACTGTACAGAGAAGACTGCACTGCCAGCAACCCCCTCCAGTAAGTTCTTTTGGGGAAAATGGGGGCTGGAAGGGAAGGGGTGGGAGGCTCCTTCCCACTTCTTCATGCTCCAGGAGCCTAAAGAACTGAGAAAGCTGGGGAGATTGACCCTGGGACTGCAGAAGCTGTCCTGGGAGTCAAGCCTCACAGACCCAGCAACTGGAAAGACCAGGACCTTAGTTTAAGATCCAGATATTTCCAGGTGTCAAATTAATGGTGAGCAAACTGTGAAAACCCAGTTTTCGCCACATTACTTTACTTTTACCTGAAGTGTTATTTGAACACCTCAGGTAATAGCAAGACAGGTCCTGCATTTTGGGCCTCTCTGGAAGGGCCCTTAAATAATTTTTGAAAGCATCAGCAACATATATTAGAGCTTCGAAAATATTTCTTTTGGGGCTGCATTTCTCAGACCTCCTAACCAGCAGAGCCACTGTTTCTGAGAAGTACAGCAGTGGAGTTCAAAGTTCCTATAACCTATAAAGCTCTAAATGGTTCAGGATCTGCCTATCTTCATGACTGCATCTTCCCCTACAAGGCCACGCAGTCCTTAAGATCTTTTGGGGATGCTCTTCTCTCACTTCTGCCCCTGTCTCGGGTGTGGCTGGTGGGAACAAAAGAAAGGGCATTCTCGGTGGTGGCCCCTCATCTCTGGAACTCCCTCCCCAGGGAGATTAGGCTAGCACCCTGCCTATCCACATTCCATAAGGAATTAAAGACGTTGATGTTTCGTTGTGCATTTGATTGACGACTCCTGTGACAGATGATCTGAATCACGACATGAATCATGTTCTGAATCCAAATTCCTATATTTCATTACTACATTTTAAAGTTGAACTGATCCTGTTTAATTGCTCTATTTATACGCTATTATTCCTATTATTCCTATGCCACTATACGTTTCTATCCACCTTATTGACCACCCTATCCTTTAACGAGTTTCGCATATTGGCCCCTCCCCTCCAAAAATGAGTCTGTTGATGCTTTTGATGCTTGTTTATTATTGTTTATGCTGTTTCATGCTACTTTAATATGTTATTGTTCTGTTTTTAATTGTATGTTGCTTTGGGCTTGGCCCCATGTAAGCCGCCCCAAATCCCTTCGGGGAGATGGAGGCAGAGTAGAAAAATAAAGTTCTTCTTCCTAGCTGGTATCTCATTCCAATATACTCAACATTGCAACTTTCCCCAGACCTCCTTGTTGCCCCAATGAAATACAGATAGTCATAAAGAACTACTGAAATTGTTTCCCATCTTCTTTATTATATTTTTTTTTGTACTAAATCACGTCCTTCATATAATGCATTTTATTTGTGTCTTCCTAAAGCACCCCATCAGATCCAGAAGTCAAACTTCACATAGTTGTGGCTGGACTCCTGGGTGTCAAATTCTTGATTGCTGTCCTCATTCTAATTATTGCCCGAAGCCTAAAGAATAGAACAACAGAAGATGAATGCAGAAGAGAAAATGAGCACCAGCTCTTCCCAGTTACAGGTGATGTCAAATGAATATTAGAACAAACCAAAGGCCTGGCTGCAATCTGGTTTCCTCCAAGTGATTTGGAACCATGATAGTAAGAGCAAAAAGGAAATGTAGTCCAAAACAATTAAAGAAAACCACATTGGTGATGTCTGGCTATGTAATATGGCATCCCATTTTCTACAGGGACCAACCAGAGCAAGACACGAGGCCAAGAGCAAACTCCTGTTTGTTCCACACCAATTCAAATTCAGAATAAGATTGCCTTTGATATTGGTAATTAAGCAGCCACCTGATGTCCTTATCCTTCTTGAATTTATCGAATGATCTTTTAAAGCTGCCCACTTTGACATTTGTCAGGGCACCTTATAACAACAGCAATCCAACTATGGATTATATAAAAGAGCATTACTCTGGATTGTTGCAGAAGCCTTTGGCATTTGGGACACTGCTGGCTGGATTTTTCCACCTAAATGCTGAAGAATTCTGCTATGTGTCAAATAGAGCTTCACATGAAAATGGTGGCCATATTGAAATAGCGGACTTTATTTGTCTCCAAGCTTCATTTCATTTTATAACTCATATGCCTATTCCTGTTTCCATCATAACAGGAAATGGCTATCACAGCTGAAGATAATGGAAGAAAGGAAACCAACAAGTAAGACTTCGAAGGAAGATATATGTAGAAGTGGATCCAACAAGCAAGACCAAAAAAAAAAAAAGACTTTCCACATCCACTGCAAGAACTGCTCTGGTTTTGCCTGCTTTGCCCTGGCATCTCACAGAATACTAAAAATAAACTTAAGTGGCTGTCAGTGAATTGTTCAATTAGATTGCAATTTGCATCTTAAGGAACTAACTCTAAAATAATAGAATTGCAGCTTTCAATGGGACCATCTGGTCCCACCTCTACCATGCAGGAATCCAGAGTTGACGCACCCCTGAGAGATGGCAATTCAAATTTCATTTTAAAGCATCTGATGAAAGATAGTCCACTAAACTCAAGTCCTCCTTAAGACCACAACATCAGCTTTAACCTTTGAACTGTTTTGACTCGTTCTCCGTCCCCTCCTTATTTTACCACCAATCCTGCACGGTTGTTTAAAGAAATCGTTCTCATCATTTTCAGTGGTCCCGTTTCTCATTTTGGATTGCTTTGCTATAGTGAATGTCAAATGGATACTCCATGCCAAGGCACTTTTCATTATATTATACGTTGAGAAGACTCTATAGGGCAGAACTTTCCAAACTATGCATTGTAACACATTACTGCTGATCCCCAGATGTTTTGGCCTTCAACTCCCAGAAATCTTAACAGCTGGTAAACTGGCTGGGATTTCTGGGAATTGTAGGCCAAAACACTTGGGGACCCACAGGTTGAGAAGCACTGCATTACTGTATTGTGTCATCTGTAGTGTATAGGGACCTCATCATACAGATGCCCCCCTCTCCATGATGTTCTGTTTCACCGGCAATCACTGGCAAAGTGGAAAGTGTGTATGGTGCCTTGTGGCAACCCATGTGCCCTCCGTCCTTCCCCATCACATGGGTGCATCAGGATAAGGCGCGTTGGCGCCCTGTCCTTTCACCAATCAGATGGGGGGGAAACTGTGGCAACACATGTTTCCACGCTGCCTCCCCCCCCCCCCATCAGATGGGGGAGAAGGCAAAACAGTAGGTAGCTTAGTTGGAGCTACCCAAAAGATGACTTGCGACACTTCCTTGCCACTTTGGACATCAGTGGGGCAGGGCCATGGCCTGCATGATGTGGTTGCACTCAGCAGGCTCTATGGCCAAAGAACAAGGGGCAATTTCTCCTTATGTGATGAGGAGGTAGTTGTGTTACACAAATGTAGCAAGAAACCTCTGAGTCTGTGTGAAACCTCTGAGTCTGTGTGAAGCAATAAATCATTTATTTTAAGTACATAAATATGTTGTGTTCCCATACATTGCATTATTACAATTTATGTATGTATATGTATCTCCTTTAAGGGATTGGTTTAACCTCCAATTCACTAGTAAAACTGAATTACTGTGTCACAGAATGGTGCATGTCTATAAAGCGTATCACCAACATGAAATGTTTGAAAAAGTCTGCTATAGAGCCTAAGAACAAATGCAGATCCCTCTCTCTTCTTTCTTTTACAAAAGGTGTGTGTGGAGAAGTACAATAAAGACTGCAATGATGTGTACTTTAATGCAATAACTCAAAATTATGAACAATTAATCGTTCCTTTCCAGAAAGCCTTGACTGAGTTTTGAGTCATGCAAAACACTCTTTGTGGGTAATCCTTAATGTCAAGTGAATTTGCAGCTCGAGTAAATTTTAAACCTTGGTGGAGGAGTTGTGTTTATATTTAAAATTGCTTCAGATACAAATTCTTTTCTAGATGTTTAAATTAATCACCTGTACAAAAGAGGAATGCATCCACTGGTTGCTGTCATAAATGCCAAGTTCCAGTCTGAGATTACACACACTATTATGAGGAAGGGAAAAGAGCGAGGATGTTATTGTCAAAAAGTAAAAGGTGTTATTCTATTATCTAAAGATTCATCTATAATATAAACAATTTGTCCTTCGATTTATATGCTGTGTATATACATTGCCTTAATAAAGATAAGATATAGCCACCCTCACTCATAGTGCTAACTTGTTTATGTATTTGAGAAATACAGCAGTGTTCACTGGGGCTTACGTCTAGATAAATTGCACTGAATTCTAGTTTCAAATGTCATTTCTAAATAATAATAATAATAATAATAATAATGCTTTATTTATATACTGACCTACCACCCTATCTCTCAAAGGGACTCAGGGCGGTTTCCAACAAAAAAAATGGCAAACATTAAATGCCAGAATACAAAGAGAAATAAACAACCCCTCCCCCACACACACACACACACATTCCCAAAATTTCTAAAGCAGCTTTCCCAACTGTGGGTCCCTAGATGTTGTTGAACTACAACTCCCATTGGCCACGCTACCCAGGATGACAAGAATTGCAGTGAAACAAGATCTAATGAGCTCTGTTTGGGAAGGGCTATTCTTCCAAAAGAGCCAGAGTGAGGATGTGAACATTGAAGAATATTGACTTGGAAAGAAATTCAAAACAATGTAACAAGCATTTACAAGAAACATCATTTGTATTTAGGAAGCTTGAAACTCTTTGTCATAGTTCTGGAACACCAAATCCTAATACTAGCTAATGGGGGAAAATGGAGTGCTAAGAAAATCTTGGAAAGCTACAGTTAACTGGAGCTGCTGCCTTGTGGTGGTTTCCAATTGTGAAGGTCCATTTCCAAGTTTCATGATCAACAGACTCCAAAATAGCAGCCATGAGGTGAGATGGCTGTTATTACTCATTGTGGTTAATCCTTCCTCCAGTCTTTACCCTATCATTGCTTAATCTATGACTCCTACTCATCACAAGGTCTGGAACAAAACAGTCTTGTTTCCTCTATTTGAGGATCTGCAACAGAGTTTTGGCTATATGTTTTCCATTGATACAGCAAGATGAGAAAAACCATTTGGAGAATCTGGATTGAAGATTGTTATGTATAGTGATGCTGATCTGATATGAGCACAATCTGTATCTTTTTGCCACCCAAGTGGGAATCATGTCACGTATTCCCTCTCCGCCCTCCGAATGAGAGTTCTCTTCTCATAGATCCTGAAGAGGGAAATTACTGTATGTTATTTCCTTCCTCATGTATAAGTCTAGAAACTAACCTAGCCATGGATCAAGGAAGGTCCAGTCAACCTTCCACATTTGCAGATTTGACTTTTATGAATTTGATTATTCATGGACTTGATTAAAATGGCATCTCTAGAGATCTCTGGGTTCTTCAGAACAACTCGGCTGAATTTCTCCTTCTCCAAGTAGAGTCACAAAAAGGCAAAAGCTTAGTCAATCCAAGGAAAACTTTTTAAAAGCACTAACCTCCCACCCTAATCTCTGACCTTTTTGAATGCCTGTACAAAAAAAATGGCATTTATTTTATTTCTGTTGGTTCAGTTGTATGAAGTACTGTGAACTTTGTTATCTAAACCAAATTTCTAAGATACGCTTTTAATTCTGGTTGGCAGATCTTCTTAGACAAATTAGATTCCACAGAACTCAGATCTGCCTGCTAGGCGTGATCTGCTCCAGACTTCAGAGGACTGAGTCATGCTGATCTAGCTTCTGTTTTAGGAAGTGATGTTTTCTCACCCTGATTACTTTAGGAAGGGTTTATTTATTTATTTCTCACATTTCTATCCCGACCTTCTCAACCCCCGAAGGGGGACTCAGGATGGGTTGGCTTTTTCATGGTGCCCCCAACAACTTTATTATATCAAATTTACCCCATGCGAGGTTTTTTTTTTTTCAGCTCAAATGTCTTGAGGTGAAGAAATTGGGAATAGGTTGATTCGACATAGGTTGGGGGGGCAAGCTGGTTGGTTGGAGTTCAAAGGGCTGCAGAAGACCTTCCTCATCTCTGATTACATGCAGCTACAAGGTAGACAATTGCTGTCTTTGCTTTAAACAATGAGTTGCATCACAGTTCTCAAAGTCAAGTACCATGCACACAGAGATACTTATACGCCTATGTGCATGCATAAAGAGAGAGAGAGAGATACATGGTCATAGCACAGTCACCTCATTTCGTAATGCAATGTTGCAAGAGAAAGAACTGGCCTTATCTGTAACTGTTCAGCCCAATGCTTTGTCTGCTAGGGAACATCTGGAAAGCAGTTTCCCACAATTTCAGTCAGACAACTCATCGACGCTAAATTTACAACCATTTTTAGAAGCTCTTCCCACAGCTCCAACCCAGCATTGCTGATCTGGATGAATAAGTGACAGACAATGACAAAGAAAAATTATTTCCTTCCTGCAAGGGTAAATTGAGTTGTACACTAGTCTGCAACCTAAATTATATTCAGCTACACAATGATGGGATTTTCGGGTCTCCCGCTAAGATGCTTTATGTTAACAGGTATGGTAAAGAACGCTGCCTTTTCATGGCCACCAATATAGAACACAGTGGAATTAATTAGAGGCCTTGTCTATTTATTTTGTATTTAATACATTTGGGTAACAATAAACAGGCAGCTACTTTTGTGCCCATATTTTGTTTTATTTTCTTTTGTTTTTGAGAGATAGGAAATAATTATATGTGTTCCAACTAAAAAATAAGCTCTACTGACTTAAATGGGGCTTAATTCCAGGTATGTTACAAGTGGATTTCCTGCTTCAGCACTAAATTGAACTAGATTATTTTTTCATGGGACTTTCAACTCTACAATTCAGTGACCAGAATCCTAAATTGACAAGCAGTCCACACAATGGATTGTAGACTAATCAGTTTTACATTCTTGGCACTCATGGATGGAGCAGTGGCCGTAATGGGTTGCCATCATTAGATGGCTCACAAGTACAAGAAGTCCAGAAAATGTTCTGTGTTTTTTTAAGTGTTGCATGTATTTCTCCCCTCCTTGTCTCTCTAGTTTGTTGAAATTGTATTAATGACCTATCATTTTAAATTAAATTAATTTTTTACTGGATATAAACAAAGTTGTTTATGGAATTTTTGTGTCTCAGGTACCAAAATAATATAGCTGGGCTTGAGAATTGTGTCCTATGACTTCAAGAGAAGGTATGTTTTCTACTTGATGTCATTCAGCAAAATGTCTTGGGTCCTACATGGGTAGAACCTCTATTTCCATTAATCTAGTGGCAAGTACCCATAGAACATATTCATCTATTTGTTCAATTACCTTTGGGGGCAGGCACATTTTCCTCTCATTTTCTAATAGAAACCAAAATAGACCTGTATATAGAACCTAACCATATTTGACACAAGAAGCAAAAGAAAATGCCTCCTAAAGATGCAATGCTATATGGCTCAGCATGGCGCAGTAGCTCTGCATGTGGATCTACACTAGACTGAAACAGATATTATTTCATGACTTGTGGATCAGAGGCGGGATTTAAGAAGCATTTGCTATGCAGACATAGATGCAAAATTCAGCACTGAGATCAGCCGAATCTGAGGGTCTTAGCACTACTACAGATGTTTTGCATCTGGCTACAAGTCCCCAATCATGCAGTGAGTTAAACCACTAAACTGCTGACTGAAAGGTCAGTGGTTTGAATCCATGGAGTATGGTGAGCTCCAACTGTTGACCCTAGTTTCTGTCAACCTAGCTGTTCAAAAACATGCAAATGTGAGCATATCAATAGGTACCACTTCGGCGGGAAAGTAACGGCACTCCATGCAGTCATGCTAGCCACATTACCTTGGAGGTGTCTATGGACAATGCTGGCTCTTTGGCTTAGAAATGGAGATGAGCACCACCCCCAGAGTCAGACATGATTGAAACAGATATTATTTCAAGACTTAATGTCAAAGGGAAACATTTACCATTACTTTACAAGGACATAGCCAGACACCTGTTCACTTGTGGCCTCTCCCCACAAGGCACAGGAAAGTTACAGGGTGGGTTGGCAGTATAGACTTATGGTAAGTTAAGTGAGACTTTGCATTCTTGGGTGGGAAGAAGGGAATGCCAATCTCTATGTATTACCAAAGGGGGGCATGATCAGATGCCAAATATGCCTCTAAATTTCAGGTTTCTGTACCAGAGTGCTATATCAGAGGCAACAAAAGCCAGCAAAATAGGAGCAATGTTATATGTTGTGACAAAGGGGCCACATAGCACCTATCAGTCCCATGTTTGTTGTTTCTAGAGGTATGAACTGCTGAGAACCAGCATGTGCAAGAATTACACAGAAAACCACTTGACCAATTTCCTACCTCTAAAACACAAATTCTGGAGATGCTTGGTTCCTCCTTTGTCGTATTAAATCAGATTTGTGGTCATTAATTGCGGACAAATTGTTGAACAAACTATAGTCAGAAGCATAAACAGCATCATAGGCAGTACCTCATTTTATAGTCTATTTGCTTGTTTATCACAAGGTTAAAATGGTGTATGCTAATTGCACATGTTAGAACATGTTTTTCCTGTTCTTGTTCCAGGCCTTTTTATATATGGAGAAACACACTCATCTCCAGCGTCTGCAAGTCCTTACCTCACAGAAAATGCAGGCGGGAGCTCAGAAGAGGTGGTGCTAACACAAGGAATGTCTCTCAGAATAACTGCTTTCTGTGCCTATCAATATTTACCAGGAGACAAGATGTGGTGCAAAGAAACAGAGCAGAAGGAATGCGATCTTAACAAATCTTTCAGCCTTTCAGGATGGAAGCTTCTATCTACCAGACCCAACCAAAAGATCACACTGGAGGGTCCAAGAAATGGATGCCTTTCTCTATTCATGACTGCTCTTGAAGTAGAAGATTCGGGGACATACTGGTTTGGACTTATTGATGGCTTGAAGATGATCTCATTGAAGAAAATTAAAGTGGTGGTTCATGAAAGTAAGTATAGTCGGCTTTCTGTATCCATAAATTCAACCATCCATGGCTCATTTTTATTATTCCAAAAAGCAATCTTTGATTTTGATTTTGCTTGTTTTATACTGTATAAGGGGCACCATTTTATTGCACCATTATCAATAATGGAAAAATGAACATCCACAGATTTTGGTATCCATGAGGGTTCTGAAACTAAAACCCAGTGGATACCAAGGATCCCCTTTGGTCAAGGTGGGTATAGCCTACACCGATCCCTTTATCATAATAATCAACAAAATGGAACAAAACTGCTCACATGTATTTTTACACATTTCTTTTTCAAAAAAAATTCACACATACAACATTATTTTCCACTAGTCTGTCTGGGCTGATTATACTACATACATGGCAAAATATCTAATCATGAAGCTGGAAATGACAACTAGTTCAACACCATATAGAAAAAGTCTAAATAATTGTACATATTGTAACTATTATTTTTCCAGATCCTCTGGTGCCTACAATGATATTCTCACCTCCAACCTCTACAACCCCTTCCTTTGGAAGTCCTAACAAGTTAGGAAGGAGATTACAAGAAGTGATTAAGGAGCAAGGAGAATCTCTAATCATGAAAGCTTTCTGTTCCCAGCAACATCAAGCAAAGAAGGTCTGGTGCAAAGGAGATATACTAAAAGAATGTAATCTTGACAAACCAGTAGGCATCTCAGGAACAGGATGGCAATATCTGACTCCTGAACCAAACCAAAGAGTTGTGTTATTGGAGTCAGGAAATGGCTGCATTTATTTTTTCATATCAGCTCTTCACATGGAAGATTCAGGAATATATTGGTTTGGGATACTTGAGGATTTGAATATTATCCCTTTAAGAAAATTCAAAGTGATTGTTCAAAAGGGTGAGTACTTGCAGATAATGAGGTGGATGTCATCTACATATAAGGGGAGTTCCTGACGTATTTCAGAGCCAATTATTGAGGAAAAATTGGGCACCAAACAAAACCAACGAACATAAGCTTACATAACTTTAAGAAGTGCTGTAACAAATATGTATACCCCCCTCCATTTGCTTATTTTAAAAATATGTCCAGGTACTTTTATTCCTGTGGAAAATTCAAATGTGTTACCCTCCTAATTATAGCCTGAAGTGGCACAGTCCCATAGGAGTTTCATTTATTCATCTGCAGATGCAGATTCAATGTAAGTGACAGATTTACAAGAAAAAATTGAGGAGCACTGCCAGGAAAACTTAGATTACTGAAATGGGAAAGCAGCAACTTTTTATACAGTTAGTAACACACCCAGTTTCCCTAAAAAAGATTCAGAGCATTCTAGAGATCTGTACTGTTGTTTACTATAACAATGTTGAGAATAAGGGAACAATGCGACAAAGGGTGGATCTACACCTGGGATATGTGATGTAGTTTGATGAGGTAATCATTACACTCTTTGGCAGAAAATGCTAAAGATCTTGGAAAACTACAGTTCTCTTGATTCCATGGCACTGAGCCATGGCAGTTAAAGTGATGTCAAACTGCATTAAATTATACAGGGTAGATGCATCAAAAGACATCCAAAATGTTTGTGGAGAGCAACAAAGACAAAACCAGAAGTTTCATTCTCTTTTACAGTACCATTTTATTTTCAGGACATAAAAATAATGGCATTGTGGCAGTAACAAGTGAAGATGAACAAAGGTACCAACATTACATTTATACCTGGAAACATCAGGATTAGAGATGTGTGCATGTTGCAACTGTCACTCCTTTTACTTCCCTAACATTTTAGCCCAAATAAATTGTGCAAGCAAAATGCAATTGTGTGTTGGGGGGTCAACACACAGAACATTAAAACCAAGTCTGAAGTCCACTAAGTTGAAAGTCCACTTTATGCCCTGCAACATTCAGTTCCCACCACCATCTCCCTTTGATCGATGTAACTTATTTCTGTATTACTCCCACTTTGCAGGCAAATCTCTAACACTCTGCTTGGCTTCAGTGCATGTGTACAGTATATGGTGATTTTTTGTTTTACTGTACATGTGTATTGATCAGGCACAGACAGAAGAAAAGCAAAGAGATATGTATTTGGGAAGACAGGGCAATGGGAGGAACTGCCTTCTTTCTGCATCCTATTTAGAGTCCAATCCTGTGACTATTTACTAGCAAACATGTTCCATTGAACTCAGTGGAATTATAAATGGGCTATATATTTTCCAATCCAGTTTAGATTAAAAAGGACAGCTGTATCTTTACCATGAAAAAGATACATGTGGACAGAATAAATATGTACAATGTCCTTATCAAATGGGGTTTACTTTGGTGGCATATGCCAGTTCAGCCCTAGCTGACCCAGAGCCTGCCAGCTCCCATCTCACGATGAAGAGGAATGTCCAGCAGAGCTCCGTGGGTCAACTAGAGTGGAGCTGGCATGTCTCGCCATGGTGGCAACACAGGAGGCTTCCCATGTGACACAGGAAGCAATGAGAAGCCACATGGCTGATGCTTTCCCCTGTGGGATCAGCTTCCTGGCAAGCCAGGTGATGCGGATTGCATGGCGGCAGGTTCCCCACACCCCCAATGGCGGTCGCCAGATTTGCCACAGCACATGGCCGTTCAGGCAACCTGTGTGAAGAGGTTGTAAGTATGCAAGTGTGAGTGGCCAAGTGTGTATTTGTGCATGTAACTACTCTGTAAATAAAAGGACAAGACTTTTCAACCAAGTTTTGTGGTCCTTTTTCACCCAGGCCAGAACCAAGTGTGACAATTCCCATCTCTTCTGCACCACGGTACGATCCTAATCTTCCATTTAATTAAATGCACTCAGACCTGGCAAGTCATGAAACTGAGCAATGAAGTAAATCTTTTTCTGCATGACTTCTGATCCACCTTCTGCACCATCAGCCCCAATGGGTAAAAGCCACCATTAACAATGATGGACAATTGGAAGACCTCTTTCTTTGTGCACTGGAAGCACTTTTATTCTCTACACCTAACATGGTAATCTCTGTCTTTACCTTTCCTCTGGTGTATTATTGTTCTGCAAACTTTAAGACATGTGTATGCTTCTAACCCCCTCTGAAAGCAAGGGAAAACGTAATTATGAACTGCTGGTACAAAAGGTATCCTGCCAAATTTATCAAGTACTTGTTTCTGCTGAGGGCGGGTTTAATTAATACATTGTGAATTGTTTCAGAGTTTACCAAGTTATCTTGGTGCTGGGCTCCATTGTGGTTGGCATAACAATTATTGCAGCCTTCATATTAGTTGTCACGATGCTCCTCAAGAGGAAAATGAGAGGTATGTTTCATCTTCTTTTGTCTTCATGTAACTCAGTTCTATTTTTAAACTTTCAGTTTTTCATGCTAAGTGCTAGGAATGCTAATGAATAGATATGAGCATTATGTAGCACGACAACAGAAGAGACACAGCCATGCAAGTTAGAAGCAATACAGCTATTGGTAACAAGCTACTTTTCTGCAGTAATTACGTAATTTATTTTCAAATTAATGCAACGTGAGAACAAAGTTATTAGTGTAAAAAGTATTGTTTGCCAGTAGTTTTAACAAAATTGCCATTAAATGATATTTTTGAAATCATTTGGCAAGGATTTTTCAAGTTTCGAGGACTCTTTTAGCATTTCTGATTGGAATTCTTTTGGGCAATTCCAAATCTACAATTGCGCATTCATAACAGCTATGTATTCTCATTCCCTACGTAATACCCAGTTTAGGGGCTACGTAGGGACTGTGAAAGCATCCCAATCTCTACTTACCGCTAAGCAGTTGCTGGGATAAATCGGGGCTTATTCCCCTGCCAATCAAACGGATGCCTGATGTTTCCACATCCCCACCCTCACTCATGAACAAACAATGTCCAGTACAAGGGGAATGTGCAACAAGGGTCCTTTACCTACTCTCAAACTCATGGAAGAGGATAAGAACATCAGGCAACCACTTCTTAGTTCACAAAGGAATGGAGCCCTGTCAATCTCAGTAGCTGTTTACTAGTATGTAGCATGGGGGGTGTCCTGGCTAGAATCCACTACATAGCACTGTAGTTACCATTCTATGTAGTAGTAAGGTAAAGGTAAAGGTTTTCCACTAACATTAAGTCCAGTCGTATCTGACTCTGGGGGTTGGTGGTCATCTCCATTTCTAAGCCGAAGAGCCGGCGTTGTCCGTAGACACGTCCAAGATCATGTGGCCAGCATGGCTGCATGGATCACCACCTTCCCGCCGGAGCAGTACCTATTAATCTACTCATATTTGCATTTTTTCAAACTGCTAGGTTGGCAGAAGCTGGGGCTAAGAGCGGGAGCTCACGCCATTCCCCGGATTCGAACCTGTGACCTTGCAATCAGCAAGTTCAGCAGTTCAGCACTTTAACCCAACTTGGTAAAGGATTTGCCAAGTTGGTTCTAAAACAGGATTGGTGACAAACACAACAGTATCAACAATACGAGTTGCCTTTCTTCCTTAGTGAGAAATTCTCTTTAAACATTTCAATCTGCAACAGGATTTTTTAAAAAATCTATAAAAGGATTTTCTTTCATCTGAGACTGTTATTTTTATTGCTATTTCAAGCCTGCTCTGAATTTCTTTATCAATGTTTTCATTTCTAAATTACAGTGAAAAGGAAAAAAACCCTCTGAATTTAGGACTTTTTTTGTGTTAAACAACTATAATAATTTGTTATGGGACAAATATTGTGAGCCTCACCTATTAATGGGCTGCTTTCACTGTTTATTCATGACAGACAAGTAATATAGAAGGAATCAACTTGCCTTGTGCAGCAGCTTGTTTAAAATAGCTACAGATTGGAACAGGATTCTCCTAGCCTTTTTCTGGACTGATAAAGAGACAGGCTACTGATATCTGCATAGATGAAGAAATGAACTCCCCAGGCTACAAATACAAACTATACAAACAACTGAAAACTTTTTTTACAATGTATTAAATCAGACAAGCATTTGATCTCCCACAAGTGTAACCTTTGAAATGGAGTTTTGGCTTCTTAAATGTTATTGAAATAGGTTCTATAGCACTTTCTTTTGAAGCCATACATTTTTGAGTGGTGGGCTTCCTAGTGGTGCAGCGGGTTAAACCACTGAGCTGCTGAACTTGCTGACCAAAAGTTTGGTGGTTGAAATCCAAGGAGTGGGGTGTGCTCCCGCGGTTAGGCCCAGCTTCTGCAACCTAGCAGTTCAAAAGCATGCAAATGTGAGTAGATCAATATGTACCACTTCGGTGAGAAGGTAACAGCACTCCATGCAGTCATGCTGGTCACATAACCTTGGAAGTGTCTAGGGACAACGCTCTTTGGCTTAGAAATGGAGATGAGCACCACCCCCCAGAGTTGGACACGACTAGACTTAATGTCAAGGGGATACCTTTACGTTTACTGTGTTTGAGCTAAGGATTTTGTTCTTGGTGGTTTTATCTTATTTCCTGTACATTTTGTTTGTCTGTATTATTTAAAGTTTCATTTTTTTAAAACACACTCTACCCTCCCACTAGTAACATGAAATGCTTAGGTCTTCTACAAAGAAAAAGAGAAACCAGAAACACGTCCCTTTAGGTGGACAGATCAGTTAAAAATATAGAGGGTGTTGGATTGGGAATGTAGAGAAACTCTTGACTTGTGTTGCCAAACAGCCCTTGCAGCCACCATCAACATACAGGAGGAAGACTGTAGTTTGGGATTTGGTTAGTGTTTCCCACTTAGTTGTGTTCAACTAGGGGTCCACAGGAGACAGTGAATTGGCTTTGGAGAATGCAAGTTTTCAGGTACGCATCTTCCAAGACCATGCCCAATATGTGTCTGGATATGAGACGTCTAACATCATCTCAAGCCACAAGACGTGGTACAGGTGAGGATGCTTGTTTTGCAAAACATGTGCAGTTTCCTATCATTGTTGGGGAAGGGATGGATATTCAAAAATTACCAACATTAATGTTTCTTGAGATTTTGGAATCATGACAAAGGAAATCCTGGACTGCTGTGAATCATCAGTTCAGGAATTATTCTGTGCAAAATTTGCACATAGTTCTTTTGCACAAAACACAACATTTTTCCGCTCAGGCAACAGCATTTTTCTGTGCACATTTCTATGCTGAAATACTATTTGCTGTACAAATAAACCTC